TAAGGGACCGTTTCGAATAATGGAAAGAGGTGAGTGGGACCACCGTGTTCAATTCAGTAAATGAGCGATATCTCAGCAAATAGAAAAAATAGGAGGTTCTTATTTTATATTATAGCTTATCAATATCGGAAAATTGAGTTCCTAATTCGTACGAAACTATACTTAGTATTTTGACACCACAAACATCTAATATGAACCAGTGCTGAATTCAACATACCACGTGACACACAAAAGTCAATGTTTAAGTTTTTTTTAACATTTACTTTCAAATAAGAAATTAAATAACATAATACTAAAATTTGAATTATAATCTACAGTTTGATACCAAACTTTCTGACATAAATTTATGAAGTAGCAGTTCAATAAAATTTTTAATGTAAGCCAACAAACACGACGTGGCCTTTGACCCGTGTGGAAAGAGTTAACCTGTTATCAAGTTAGTTTTAAGTTGCCTAAAATTATTTCCAAATAAGAAAACGGTTTGCTTCCACATGTAATAAAAGGAGCCAATTGAGGCACACAGTCATTCCATTTCTTAGTGCTCAACTGTGTTTTCATGCCAAATATAATGACAGACATTGACGAGATTAATTAAATTTTGAATGTAACAGTAAAATGTCATGATAATGTGCATCTGGACCTAGGAGGTATCAGGTGCCAAATGAATGCAAGGTTTAATGTTGCACGTACCACTGATAACTACGAATCAGATGAATGGTTCTAAAATAGTGGTAGAAAGAAGACCACACCCCCTGTTTGTCGTATTAAAGCCTAACATTGCAGGGTACTTTTGCTCGGCTTGACAAATAATACTAAGAACTACTACACTGAAGTTCAATACAAAAAAAAAAAAAAAGTAAACCTGTTGGTTGGCACGGGCCTGTTGCTCAATCATCTCTGCTTCTCGGTGCATCCCTAGGGAATGATAATATTCTATCCAGGCTGCACTATAATCTGGCTGTCCACCTGCCGTAGTTGCTGTAAAACAAATTCAACTTTAAATACTAACAAATGCCCAAATTTTGTTTTACACATTACAGTATACATTAGTTAAGAGATTATGATTAAATGTAGAGAAATACATACAATAGTTTCAGTAAAATATAATTAAAAAAAAAGGGGGGAGGAGGGGGAATTGAATTATGTACAAAAGAACTTAAAAACATAGGTCGACTAAATAGAAATTCTTACCAGGCTGGGGTTGCTGTTGAGCTTGTGGTTGAGCAGGCTGTGGCTGCTGTGGTTGGGGTTGAGGCTGGCCTTGGGGCTGAGGCTGTCCCTGTGGTTGTTGGTTATAAAACTGAGCATAATAAGCAGCCCATGCTGCAGCATTTGCATCAGCAGCAGCTTTCGCTGTAATTAAAAAAACCAATTTAAATTACTATTTATCTTCAATAAAGAAGTACTAATAACAACAGCGATAGTGTTAACAACCCTAATAACGATTTGTTGGTGGGTGTAGAATGACTCGTCTTCCTGCACGTGTAGATAAACTTTGCAACAGTAATCAACCTGAACTTTATTTTTTTAATTCCCAAAGTTCTAGTTCAAATGATAATTTTTCAGTGAACAAATAAATTCATTAAGTACACTGTGTTTCACTCGTTCCAAGTTTATAACGCTAGAAAAATATCAGCTAAACACTGGATTTTCTCTCTCTCTCTCAGTTTGTTAGGTGTGGAGCTCCAGTTTTCTTCTTAAATAGATAGCAACTTTCCAACACTTTGGTTTGTACACCTCATATACATGTTTAAAATAATCTATAAAAAAAATCTGGTTTTTGCTTAGCTTATACTTCACCTAGAAATTCAATACAATTAAATTATCACGGTAGTTAGTGTCTAGTTAGAATGACACGGTTCTAGTGATAGAGGAGATAGCCATTAATTATCTCATCTGAAGTAACTGAGCACTACAGGATAACTTCATGGTTTATAATAATAATAATCAAAGAGTACAGATGGAAATATTTGTGATCACTACAGGATAACTTCATGGTTTATAATAATAATAATAATAATTAATCTCATCTGAAATAACTGATCACTACAGGATAACTTCATGGTTTATAATAATCAATCTCATCTGAAATAACTGATCACTACAGGATAACTTCATGGTTTATAATAATCAATCTCATCTGAAATAACTGATCACTACAGGATAACTTCATGGTTTATAATAATAATCAAAGAGTACAGGTGTAAATATTTCAAATGAGATTTCACCCATTGACTGCTGACTCGCTATACAGGGTACAGACTGCCCCCAGCAGTTGAATGTGAGGGTGCCATATACCACGTACAGCTTGCAAAAATCCTGTGCATGTTTATAGCAGCCACAGTCAATGGGTTAATGATATAAGTACCATCTCTTTGTATTAGCTTTAATGATATTCACATTATATTTATAACTAAATCTTTTTCACACAACAGCATGTGATTGAAAACATTGGTAGAAGTTCAGATTGCTTGGAGAGTTTTGGCGTATCATTGTTGAACAAACAATTGGAAGATAAAGGTATAATAAAGACTTCTGGAATATTTGTTATTATATGAAATAACTCAACAAAGCAGTTACACCAATGAAACATTTCTCAAACCCCATTTTAAACAAGCAAGAAGTGGAAAAGGTATTTCCAGACAGCACATGCTTGCAAGTAATATAATAATAATAGAATACATAACAATATCAGTGGATTTTATCCAAAAACAAATCGAATGCAAGCAAAGAAAAAAAGTTACCCTATGACTGATTAAATGTTGTCTATGCATTACTGTCATTAGGATGGAAAGATGTTAAGCCTAAAACTACAGTACTTACTGGGATCATTTGGAGCTGCTGGTTGGTTCTGCCAATGTTGGTAAGCATTACCCCATCCTTGAGGAGCATATTGTTGACTTGGTGGTCCTGGTTGTTGTTGGCTGTAAGAGAGGGGGGAAAAAGTACAAAAAATAAATATATTTAAGACCAAAATTGAGATAAAACTGATCACAATAACTAAAATCCTGTTAAATTTTCAACCTTTGTGTAAGTGAGAGATCAGCCAGGTAAGTGTAATTGGCCCAATGTTTATACTCTTCATAAATCTCTTATTTTCTTTTGTTGGGTTTCATAAAAAGTTACATTTTATTTGAACTAGCCATCCTTAACTTTGAAATGATTGGTTAGAGGGAAACCAGTTAGATATCACCCACTTCCATTTCTCGTGACATCGAGTAGTGGGTATTGAGTTTCTTTGGTGGTAATGGGCAGCAAACTATGGAACCTCAGCTCCACAGCCTTCTGGTGTGCTTACCACTGGGTCGTTCTCCACCCACCTCAAGAGAAATATCAAACTCGGACTTGCATGTACTTCCTAATAAACAATATTTATAGTAACATTATTTAAAAACGTTTTCTTCCTGAAATAATAATCACTTTTTGGGTTCAAACTTTGAAAACAATGCATCTTCAAACTACTTATCAATAAAAGATAGAACAAGGATTATACATACTAATGTTGTGGGTACTGTGTTGGATAAGGTCCTGGCACAGGTCCTGGTCCATTTGGTCCAGGAGGCTAGATAAAACAAAAGGATATTTGATAAATTAAGACATTAGTTACTATCTACAGAAGCTTTTACCATATGGTGTACAAAGCAATGCATAAAGCATATATTTCTATGACCAAGTTTTTACTTTATTTTTTGAGAAATTAAAGGTAACAGAAAAGCTAAAATTTGCTTCAATCATACTTACACCCCCATTTGGAATAGTATTGCCAGGTCCCCCAATTTTTTCATTAATCAACTGCTGTGCATGCTCAATCTGTTGTGGGGCTCCTCGTATAATGAACACTTTTTCGTGAGGGTTAGGGGGTGGGCCTCTTGACAGTTCAACGTGTGCACCACTCTGTTGATTAATCCCCTTTATAGTTTCGCCACCTGAAAGAAGACGTATCTTGTCTAGTTGTAACTCTGCCAGTATATATCACAGAAATATTGGAATGTTAATAAATACTTAACACTTTACTAATGGTGGAAGTTCCAATTACAGAATAATTCCTACCAATAATCTCTGTTAGGAAACAGATATCATTAACACACACAATGAATGTCTAGAGATATCCGATTCCAATTAGATGATATGGCACAAGTTTGACACCAGACATCTATGGCAGGTGAAACACCTTATGATGCCTGGCTCTAATACTGTGCAACAAGGTAAACATACATAATCTGACTTCACAAGTACACTGTACTGTTTTCAATATTAGACTAAAACTGCTAGAAATATAGAATTTTGTAACTCTCAGAATATACAATAATAACTTCACAAAAATAACTGCTGTCATTTAATGTGTTTCCTTTTAAGAAAATAAATCCAACTATGCCGTGTTGTATTTACTTCATTAAACCATTATACATTAATTTCTCATCATCATTTAATTTTTAATACCAAACAAGGAGATTTAATTTCCCGAGATTTGCACACAACAACTTATAATCAGTTAGCACTTCTAAACAAAATTACATTTGACAGATTTTCTATATTTACAACACTTTTCCACTCATTGCAAGAAATCCTTCAATTTCACAAGTATTAACTAACCTTTTCCTATTACAAGACCACACTTATTTGCAGGAACAGAGTAGCTAATTTCCTGCATATCACCATCAGGTCGACCTCTGCCCATTCCTGGACCTGGTGGACCAAATGGTGGACCTCCCGGGCCTCCATCGTATCCTCGGCCACGACCACGCCCCCTACCAATATTCTGTTGATCTCTCATCTGCTTTATATAAAATAATCCAACTTGATTTTATTAATCCTACAAACACCACATAGCATTTACAGAAGTTATTACACATGGGAAAAAAAATATTGTGGCCTTACAAAGGCCTATTAGCTGCTACGTCACACTGAGATTCATAAATTGAGAAATGTTAATAACTGATGCCAACAAAGTGAATAGCTAATCAAGTATTAACTTTTACTAAATGAAATAGAATAGTAGCTAAACCGTAATAAAACATTTTCCTAGTCGCTACACCTTTAAACTGATAGCTGTGCTCAAGACAGTAAAACATATACTATCATTACTGCACTTTCATTAAGTAATGTTGGAATCTCATATGTATTTTACACAAAAAAATAAGGGTTTTACCAATAATTGTTTTTGTTTAGTTCTTTAGATTGGGTGCTATAGCAGGAAGAAAAAAAAGTTAATGATAATTTAAGGTTTAACTGACCAGGACACTACGAATTAGATCATGTATGATATTTGCAGCCCTCTGCGCTTGCTCCGGATTTCCACTGACTAAACATATTCTGTCTCCGGGTCCATCATCCTTCCCTTGCTGGAACTGAACTTTAGCTCCACCAGAGTCTTGTTGAATTCGTCGTATCATATCTCCACTTTTTCCTATGACTACTCCGACAGCTTGCCTTGGTACCAAGATCTACAAAGTATGAAAACACTCATACACATCTTTGCATCTACCAAACAAAATTTGATTCCGTATTTTTCATAAGACAATACTAATTATTAAGTTAACTAACTTAACACTGAAATGTTTCAATTATCATAAGCAAAAAGCAATCATACTGCATGAAACTTGGTATGAACTTACTAAACAGTATCTAACTTCAGTCTGGAAAAGAAAATTCTTTTCCCAAGCTGAAATTAGATACTGTTTATCTGTTATTTTCTGTACCAAAAACTCAGAATGTTCACCTAACTAGTGGCTTTCTCAGCCTTTTCCAAATATACAGATACAAAACTCTTTCTTTTTTTATACAAGATTCAAACTGGTAAAGTAAAACTTTAGTGAGCTTGAAATTTCAAATTTTTTTAGACCCAAATACAGCTTAGTTACTGAGCTTGATAAATTATAGTGGAATTCTATGGTATTGATGTAGTAATTTATGATTTTTGGTTATTTCAAAATACAAAACCTAAAAAAAAATTATTTTGTTTTACATCCACCATGTGCAAAAGTTGACAAGGCTTAGCAACCTATGGCAAGCAGCAAACGAGTGCAATGTTTGTAACTAGAAGAGATAATTGTTTGCTTTACTTCTTTATTTACT